ATGTTGCCAAGTATTGTGGTGCAATATGTTTCTCCAATTAGAGCTCATTTGAAATTCAAATATCTTATTTCTTTTATGTAGTTAATTAATGCAGTTCATGTTCCAAAAAGAAACATTAATAATAAAATATTTAACTGTTCATCCCAAAAGAAGCAGGAAAAACCAAATCAATATAAAGCATAATTAGTAATAAAAATTTGAATATTATATTGAATCTTGTTTTCAATCTCTCTGTGAAAAATTCAGACATGCAATGGCTAGAGAAACACAACAGAAAAGCTTTGGGGATCGTTGTCTGTAACCTTTAGGTTCAGACAAACCTATTTCACTCCAAAGAAAATAAAATTACAGTTAATTTCCAAAATAAAACACCCGGGCTTACAAAACTCATTGCCCATTGATTTATATGCTACATTCATGAGCCCACACTCCTAGTATAAATTAACAGGGTAGGATAGTGGGTGCACCTTGGCAAGCACAAGGAACCATAGCAGCAGGTCTGCTGAGCAAAACTGTTGGGGCCAAGGACCCAACATCCACACTAATCCTGTGTCAGGGATTTGCTCTGAACTAGTTCTAGTCTGACCCATAAGACTCAACCTCCCCTTACGAGCTGGAAAGGTTAGAAACTACACTACCCAGCCAGTGCTCTCCCATCTGTACTCCTTCATTTATCCCCACCCAGCCTGGTGGGTATGTTAGGAAACTGGCGAGAAGGAAGATAGGACCAGTTCCTTACATGTACCAACAATTATTCTCGTAACTGCAATGGCACAGCACTTCATCCTATGCAAAGAAGCTCAGTTCCCCTTTGTGATCCCATACCCTGCCTTGCTGTGAAATCCTGCGCTTTGCACACAGTTTTATGTATAAATTTCCAGAGACCACACTCCGCAAATACAACTACGATAGAAAGATTAAAGTAAGTGAAACAAAGATTTGGGAAGGGTTGGATTTATTCCCATTGTCAGCCAAGTTCATGTGAGCTCTTGGAAAACTTCTACCTTATGCCACAAGCTGGGGTTACCTTTTGAGCTTCTGAATATCAGTTACTCTTTTTTCCACAGTGATGATTTCCTAATAATTTACAAAGCATTCTTACTACATGGTGACTGTTTTGGCATGATTTTCAGACAAAAGGTCAAACTGGTATCATCTTCCCTGTTACTCCTCAGCATCCTACATACTGGTCACTGCAGCAGAAGTACTGCAGTAATGACTAAAAAGTGGAACTGTCAGATACCCTTTAATTTCAGAGAAAAAGTAGACATTTATTTCTCCTTGATTTTTACCTCTTTCAAACACTATATAGTAAAAATAAGTTTACAACAACTTGAAAATCTGTGTTAGTTCTCAGGGAACTGGGAGAACCTCACAGACTAATGATTCAGATACAAACCCAACAGTCTCATATTTCTGAAAGAGTTCTGACATGGCAATAGAGATTTAGGTAAGGACTGCCATTATTTAAAGAAAACTGTAAAAGGTGTTCACAACCTCTCTGTTTACAAGCAGCAAGAGTTGAGAGATAGGGCAGCCTAAATACTTCAGGGGGTTGGTTCCGTTCAATATACAGACCTTGTGTTGTTCTATTTAAAGCCAGTTTCAATAAAAAAAGATATGTTTTCCTTACATTTATGCTGTCTCAATCTTTTCCTTCTTTCTAGTTGTCATTCCCTGAATCTCACACACTGAATATACCTTTTCTGAGGATAAAGTCTGTACTACAGTTGCGTACTTCTTAATGAAAGACTTACTATTTACAAGTATCTTTCACAAATGCTGAGGATTTTCCCCATCTTTGACTTCCAACCCTGTAAATTTGTAAGGCAAAATGCCTTACAAATGTAGGGAGTCAGAAAACTGGAAAAGAAAACAATACTGAATATAAATTTCAGATTAAGCTCTTATTTCTAGAGTTGACTTCTTAAATTCATGGCAAACATGCATTTGATTTCAAAAGGGCAAACAGTCAACACCCCGACTTCTAATTGTTCTGAAAAATCTCCTGGCAGAAAGTAATATATCATTTTACTACAATATTCAGAGTTTGGAACAGAAATTCTCAGAGCTGTTTTCATGAACAACAACATGTCACTTAAAAAGTAGCAGAAGTTCACATTAAAAAGCAGGGGAAAAAAAATCTACAATTTTATTTTTTGTCATCACAGACAGCACTTTAAAAACTTTATACCCTGCTTTATATCTTGCCTGATAGCTTTTTGTTAAAATATTATAAAGATAGCTTAACTTTAATATTCACCCTCAAACACAAATCCCAAGATTTTCAAAGCTTTATATTACGCTTATCTAGAAAAAATAATAAAAAGAAAATAGACAAATTGTGAATGAAATCATACACAGAAGAATATATCCATTATTCAAATCAAGGTGCAAATCTGAATAGCAGATGAGATTTTCCCAAATACTCTGATTATATTAATAGCTATTTAAATAACAACTGTATTATGAATAAGGTTACACAAAATCAAATTTAACTGAAGCAACATCTGGCACACTAGAGGCATTGCAGAAGATATAACTGTAATTTGTAAAATTAGTTCCTTTAAAAGTGTAAAATATTCATCACTCATCGTATTTTTAAGATTATGAGCTCAGAACTTGAACATCAGATTTCATTAAATCCCCTCGTTGCATCTAAAGACTATTGCTTACGGAGAAAAATAGTGGTGTATTTTTTGTCATCTTCAATTTAGCAGTAAGTCTGGAAGTAAAGGCACAAACAATTGCATATATCTGCCTGCAAATTGTGCACCAAATTATAAGAATAAGGAATCAGTTACTTTTAGAATAGCATTCAGGCTGAGTTACTACCTTCTCTCATTCCACCTCCAATTTTAAGAGGACTATTCACCAACATTCACCTCCACCTGCAACACACACTAGCAGGATGTTTATAGTCCTACTCTGATCAGCACTTATATTAATTAGAACTAGTACTTCAAATGCATTTGGGAGATCTTTGTAATGACGTTTTCACCCTACAAAGCATGCAAAGGCTTTAGTGTCATTACTGACTAGGTTTTAAAGGGATCTGCAGGCTGTATTTCATTAGTAAAACAACATTAATTTACTAGATTAATCCCACTACACAAGTATTTATCATACTTTATAAGGTACTGCAATTTGCACGTGACAGCTTATTCATGCATAGCTGGAAAATGCAAATAATCTACTAAACTGGGTAGTGGTACCATTATGTCTTATGTGCTGGAAATAGCGTATGTATAAATGAGAACTCAGAAAAATTATTACGACATATCAGCATACTTTACTGTAGTAAATGTTAGTAAAATTACATCACTATTTAAATCTTAGTTGTGAAATAAACTCCACGTTGATAGGCCACTATGACAAGAGACAGCTTTATGCAGAATTAGAGCTCTGGAGATTATTTTTATCTTGCTATTTTATCAGTGTGAGACAAATTATCCTCCGAGGATAAACTGACTGAACAACATTAATATCTCAAAATAAAGTGAACAACCTTTCATGTGTTTTGGCTATCTGCTACGGGTAACATTTCATGTATTATTTTATATACAGCTAATCCATAGTACTTTTTTTTTTTTCCTGTTTAAGCAGTAATTCTTGACATTAATGTTAGTAACCAACATGCCACTGGTTATAAAATCAATTCGTGTATAGAAGCATTTCCACAAAGTCTGACATTTGAGTTTGATAGAAAACAATTTAAAACTAACAGAGAATTCTTGACTTTTAATTTTTCCTTTTCACCTAAAAGGAGTTTAAAGAATAAATTATATGGCCCACAATACTTGAACTCTTCATTACCAAGAGTACATTAGTTAAAGTAGCCCTGTGCAAGACAGTGTGCTCAACTGCAACAGAAATTGTGGGCAAAAATTTGCAATTATTAAATACGGAGAAACACTATCCAATTTGTACTCTCTGTCCTAAAATTACACTCCTTCAAAATAATACATCCTCATGACCCTAGCTGAGCAATGGGATGTATAACGACGTTCTTACAAAGTTTCTTTTATTTTCAAGTTTTACTAAAATTCAGATTTTCTTGTAAGATTGTGTATTTTTACTTCTTATAACTTGAAAATAGCCTAAAGTTTTGTATCTCTATGTATTCTGACATACAGAATTTAAAAATGATCACACCTGTTTGAAGATACAGATTTCATCCCACACTGGTAATATGAGACACTAGTACAATTAAGAGAAATTCTGACACCTTTGAACTTCTTAAATACAATGAAATGTATGACCTCCATGCTGCTCTGTACTACTCATTTCATAAAATGAAATATCTATATTATGTAAAAGCTTGTCCTTAAATCAAAGATGTAAGAGCAAAATATTCACAACAGCATTTATAAAATTGACATTATCCCCACTGAAAGACCACTGAACAGTATAAATAAGACTTCATGCAATATTTCATAACTAGAAAAAAAATATCACTTATTGTAACATGTGCAAAAGACTGAAGTGGAGTTTAGGAGCCTTCTTAAATAACTAGTAAGGAGAATAAGGACCTGTTATCTCAGTGTCATGGGTTTAGACCGAAAAATTCATTGACATAGAACATGTAAAATTATTGGCATAGTCTTTATTTTTAGAAGAGAGCTCTCCAAGACAGTAAAAGACATTTTCCTCAGAAGAAAAGTAAATAGGTAGTGATTAAGAAAAAACTTTTGTACTACCTATTATTTTACATGCTGATGCAAAGAACACCCTCCCAGGTCAGGCCCCACATTCTTGTTAAATTTCATTTTCAAGGACACTCATGATGTGTTATTTGGCTATAATAATCACTTGTAAGTAGCTTTTTCTAAACAAAGAGCAAATATCTGTCTTGACTAAAAGCAAGCACAGTAAAAACTGATAAAGAATCTAGTTATGAGTAAAACCAAAAATTACTGCATTGCTTTTCACTAAATACAAAGTGAACAGGAGGATAAAGGCAGGCATAGCAGATGTATTAAAATTTTTAATAATCTGAGATTTATTAGTAAAATATTATCAGTTAAAATAAATGTTTATGTACAATATAACTGCAAATCCTAATGTCTAAAATTTGTTTAATGTATTTTTCAGGGTTTAGGCATGCATTTTCATCCAAACTGTGATTGTTTGTAACTTTACAATAATATCTTCCAGGTTTGAACACCACTGTCTCTCCTACGTTGCCATGTTGAAAAAAGCAGACAAGAGGGGAAACTCCAGGATCTCAGCAAATCATTTAGCATATGCAAAAATCAAATAAGCACTTAGTCATACACTATAGTCTCCAGTGCCAGATCACAGATATTATACAAATATATGAATAGCAATCAAAATTAACACTTCTTTCTTCCTGTGCAGTTCCTATTGCAATAAGATGGCATCTGAATAAAAGCAGCAGATCCTGGTTTAAACATTTCTACTCCTCCTCCTCTCAGTAATACCCAGACAGCATGTATGAGTCAAATGAAAGCAAGCCTTTTTAATCCAAAGGTCTTAGTTCTCATGTTTCAGAGGAATATTTTTTTTTTCCTGAACTCAGGTTCTTCAGAAATAGGGTAGCTTCTTTCCAGCTCTGTCTACAGTAAAGACTATACCCAGACCAAACTGTAAGAAAACCTAAGGTTTTATGTTTTCCACAGCTCTTTGTGTATGTGAACACATAAGGACAACAGAAGACCACAGGACTGCAGTGTGTAGCTAGGTAGTTTTTCAACAAGTTCATAAAATCTTTCTACAAGAAGAGATAAAATAATCCAAACTCTTTGTTGCATATGTCTAACATTCCTCAGAATATTGATATCAAAGCGTATTGACAATTTAAAAAATCCTGATTTTCATAAAATATCTGTATAAATATGTCTCCTCAGTGATTTCTACATTTAAATTAAATGTTTGTTTTATATGTGCAGTTTTCTGAACTTTGGGTTTATCTTCATATTTCTATTACAAACCTTTCTTTGCAAAAGAAAGTCTCAGATAAGAATACTTATACAGAGCACCCTGGATTCATATCAGTAAAAGTATTAACATGCAAATCATTTTCTATTTTCAAATAGGTATTGATAAACTGCACAGTTCTCATTCCAGTCGTCCTTGCTTAGCATCACCTATTGCTCCCCACACATCAAAGACAAACTCATCTGGAAATGCAAAGTCTCCAAGAGTTTCATCCAATGCCACTGCAAATTCATCTGGGTTTTTCTTGTCTCTTCCAGCTTCCACCATTGTTGCAGCTAAAAAGTAACAAAATAATGCAATTATCATCAAAGTGACAGCTACTATATATGGCCAAGATAGTTTTTTAATGTCTATTTTCAAAACCAGGTAAGGTTATCTTAGGGAGATTTAAAGCTTACCTACTAAAATTAGGATTCAATAGGAATTACATGCTTAAATCTCCCCACACTAGCCACATTCTGCTCTGTTAAACAGGAGCACTTCCTTGGAGCGCTCATTACGTATTCTTCTGTTTGTTTGACAGAGGTTTAATTTTTAATTCAACAAACCTTCATTCTAATCTTATTAAATTATAGTCTGTTTTCATTACTGAAGGCACATGAAGCATGGATCTAAAACCAAGGTTAAGCATCACTCTTCAGCAGTAACAAAATCCATGCCAGTTCATCATCAACTTCAGTGAGTTTGATATGAGCTTGCTGATCTAAATCAGAAGATCAAAAGGCAAACCTGGGTGTTTCTCTCCTCTAAAGAAAGAAGAAAAGTTCTCAATAAATCAGAGTTTAAACTGGTCAAGTTTTTCACAGAAAGCCAACAAGGGTTTGAACATGGAAAACAACATACAGTCAGCATAATAGATACACACAACCAAGCTAGTATGGGTTTGCTAGCAACAACCCATGTTTTATGAGTTGAAATGTTGAGCATGACCTGCATTTAGAAAGGAGTAACGATAAATGGGCCTAGAGAAAACACTTGAATATCCTACCTCAGGAAACAAGAATTCAAACAGTAGGCTCAACTAATGCGTTCTGTGAAATACAGAGAAAATGAACATCTAGTTTGTTAGGTACTGGACATAGTATACTTGCAACTGCCTGAAAGAAGTTGTGCTCTCAAGAAACTACCACATGACCTCAATCAGATTTGCTTAATTTTCCATCTTAATTTTATTTAATTTTAATTAACTTTAGCTTAATTTTTTAACCCTAAACCCACCTCCGGGCAGTAAAGAGACTGAGGCATTTACTGTGAGCCCTATTATTCTTCTGCTTGGATCTACATTTTTTTCCATACCATCCAAACTAAAGAGTAACTAATTTCAGTGCATGAGTTTGCTTCAGTAATTATTACCTCCAGCTCTGAAATGCAAATCTTTAATCTCTAGCACCCCCAAGGCTGAGTAGGTTTGTGCTTATGCAACTAAGAAGTGAAAAAGATCAGTTATTCCTGGAAGCCTCAGCCAGGTGGTTCAAACTGTGCAAAAGCAAGGGAAAGGCCTTGTTGCTGTGCACAATAAACTGGAGCCACCAAAGACTAGGAACATCTCGGTATCCAGGAAGTTAAAGCAGAGAGGTCTGATATGACAGAAGTTGACTGTGATATCTTGTATACCCATGCTGTCCAGCATTTGCTCTTAACACTGGGTATCAGAATTTATCCAGTTTTAGACTTTAGTTTGGAAATGGCTACACTACACTGGGTTGCTGCTTAGGACTCAGTCCTTAGCTACTGTGCTCATCCCTCACCTTTAGCTGCTGCACAGTTTCTCAGATTCTGGGACAAATTACATGTCTATCACAAGCAACAATGGATGCTGGCAAGCCAGGGACATTAGAGCAAAAGAAAACTCTGAGGGCTCAAACCTCTCTCAGTCATGGCACCTGCACCTCCCTGAAGGACAAAGCGTGTCAGCACAGGAGTATCTCCTGGTTAAGCTAGGCAAGAAAAATTACTGGCAGCAGACTATCATGGTTTTAGGGATGCAGAAGATGCTGTAAAACAGACTCAGCACAGACAGCACTGCTGAGTGCAGTTTGTTTTCTGAGCTGTATCTCTGCTCCACAGTCTCTGTTCATATGGACAAGAAATGATGGTATTGTACAACAGATGAAACCCTCAAAGTCTGCTTCATTTTGTGATTACACACCTGCCTTAAACTGCAAGATGTCCTCCATCTTTTGTTATACATCAAGTAACCACCACTGTCGTCTTGAGCATATCAAACTCAAGTGTCACACTGAAGGGTTTGATACCTTCTAGCCTTTTCTCATAGGGATATCCGAGTGGAAAACATATTACAGCACCCGAGAAAGGGAAGGAAATTCTGAAGCCACAGAAGACCATCTTGATGGGGACAGTCTGCGTTCTACTGCAGGCACTGTGTTCTATTGACATGGCAAAATCTCTCTGATTAAAAAGCAAAAGAAACTTCCTGCTCTGAAGTTTTATTAAAGGTATTTAATATTGTTTTGTTGACCTGAAACTGAGCCCAAGTTTATTGACAGTTATGAACTTCCGGCAAACAGCACTTGCTGTTATGCAACCTTCTAACAAGCTGTGAGCAAACGTGAGCCATATTCCACAATGGACATCAGCAATAGTAATTCTGAAGAAATTTGATGTTTGAGTTTTATCTATGTTCAGATGTGAGGCTCCAAAGAGAATCACAGTGTGCCAAATGACACAAAACAGTCCAAGGAAAATTTACATAGATCTTGACAAACCAACTGTTGTGACTGAGACAGTTCAAGTGTAACCCAGCTTCCCAGGCACCACTAGTGGTTCTCAAAGACTCTTAAGACCTGTTTCCCTGCCAGAAGAAACCCTGTCCCTGTTGCATTGATTCTTTCTGTGTCCCTGTGAAGTTCCTGGGACACTGACTTAGAGGAATATGGATGGGAAACAGACATTAAAGTGGGAACCTCTTGTTCCTGACAAGCAGAAGACAATATCTGTCCTGTCAACATCACCCTATATGCCCTGACACCATGGCAGAAGGTACTTACAGAGGAGCAACTCTGGGGGTAATAAGGTGAAGGGTGTAATTTAAACTTCACAGATTTCTGGATATGGTTACTCTACATAGACACTGGGAGAGGGTTGAAGGGAGGATAACTGTGCAAAGTGACACAAAAGCAAATGTGTCTGGTTACTCAAGATATTAAAAAAAAGTTGCCATCAAGAGAGTAAGGACCTAGACAAGTGTTCCAGCAGAAAGAGTGGGAGCAAGGAATGTATCCAGTTTTAAGACAAATTAGTCAAGATATATGAAAGAGCCATATGACACAGACTGCAGTGATAAAACAAGACAACACAGCATTATATTACAGTCTAACCACCCTAGTTGCAACTTCAGAATTACACAGTAATAAACTCCATCATCAACATAAAATGTTACTTCAAACACAATTTTCTTTAAAGATTGAGCTTCTCAAATTATGAAGTAGAACCTCCAAACCAGTTTATTATAGATTTACCAAATTTGAAAACAAAATCCAGTAAACTTAGATAATCAAGACAACTTTCATCCCAGCCAAGCAGGAGTCAGAGTGTCACAGCCGTGCAAAAGCAGCAGCCTCAAATAAAAGTGTTTTCATCTGTACTGGGCAACTGTAATCAGCACTTCCAGGGTACATTTAATGCACTACATTTCTTAAAGCACACTCCCCTTACCAGATTCACCCGATGTAATGAAATAAGCTTCTGTGGAGAGATCGCAGGATTGTCACTGCTGCCGTGTACGTTTTCGACAGCTTCGTGCTGACCTCTAGTGTCAGCAGGGTTGTATTACCGCACAGCAAATCCTGATGCAAGATGCAAGCCATTCCTTCTTGATTTTCTCACACAAATCGTACCACCGACATACACAAATGTGAAAATGTGAACCCTCCTTCACTACTTTCATACATACAGCCACACTAAAGCTGACGAGTCTTCTCCATCACCCAGTGTACACATTCTTATTTCCCCAGGCAGTTAACACGGCCATGGGATGGCATCCCCCTGGGCTGCACAGCTGTGCAGAACATGCATGTTTACACAGTGACATTTGCAATGCGTAATTCCCAAGGCAAATCAAAGACTACTGATTGCCAAGGCATTTAGGAGATATTTGCCAACTTGAAGAAAACTTTACTGGTTCTCAGAGGGTGACAGCTCCGTGCCAAATCGCCTCCACTCCCCTCCCTTTTCCCCACTGCCTCTTGTAACAGCTGCACAATAAGTAATCACAAGAATTTTACTCTAACAGAACATCTTTCTACATGCCATATAGCCCCAATTCTTTTCATAGTTTGTTGGGTTTTTTTTTAAATCTCACTTTAGTCAATGCTCATACCTGAGAAATTTTTTACATAAAACGTGAAAAGTTCAGTACACTTAGAAGTGATGAAAGGAATTAGAAGTCTTATCAAACTTAACGGAGAAGCTCAATATCAGGCTTCGCAGAATGTGAACAAAGAAGTATCTTGGCTTTTTAAACCTAGTCCCTTTAAAATAACTTCAAACATGTTTCACAAAATCCTTATTTTGACTATTGATAGACACATGAGGCACAAGCCATGAAAGCTACAATCCACCTGCCACTGTTATCTACCTTACACAGTGGTTTTGCTACCTATATCCAATCCTGTAACTTCTAAAAGGAACTCTTTCATAAATCTTAACAGAAATTTCAGTATTTGTTTAGCTGTAATGCTATCAGAAGCTTTGCCTTCATCAAAAGGTAACAAATATTATCCTGGCCTGATACTTTAAAAGAGCTAAAATTCACATTCAGATTTCATGACAGAAAATGAAACGTGTCATTGTAGTTCTCAATGTTTAATATACTTGGTTTTAGTTTTATGTTGAACATTGTCAGATCTGGAACTCAAGGAACCATTAGAAATAACATTTGTTCTTGTTTCTTTTTATCAAGTACTAATTCTTCTTGAAGTGGAGAAGTTTTCTTGTTTAATGAGACTTGCTACCTTTCCCTTCTTCACCAAACTCCCATTATTCTATGAGTAAATAAATGGTCATAAACAATATACCCCAGCACATATACAATAAAATCCTTTCGGAAAGGAAGTCTGGTGACAAAAGGAGCAGAAAACAACAGATTCAGGGAGAATATCACTTTAGCCAAAGCATTTCAAGATAAAAACATCTATCCAATATTGTTGGGTTGGATTAGTGACCCAAGAGAAGCTTGGATGACAAAAAGTTTAAACCCGCTAGGACATTTTGACTAGAGAGTAAGTTTGAAAAATAAAGAGTGGAGAAGTAGAATTGACATTTTTCTAAACAGAGATGGAGAATATGTCAAGATATGTAATGGCTGACAATATTATAGGGAACAACAAAAAGGAAATAATCCGAAAGCGTAAAAATAGAACAAAATAGGACAAAATACCAGTGGATGAAGAGCTGGGCAAAAGATGCTGAAAGAAAAAAAGTTGGACAGGAAGCCCTTTTGGACATTTTTCCATCAGTAGCATTCTAGGGTTGGGTCCCACAGATCCAGGCTTCCTCCCACCCAGAATCTTTGGGATCGAATACAGTCTATAACAATTCAAGCCTCATTGATTTAAAAAATAAACACCACCTGTATTTTTTACTAACACTGCTTCCTGAGTCCCTCTTACTAATCAACTGTTCACATTCCTTTACCAGAAAGCACTGACAGGATTTAAAATAACCTGAATTATCTCTTAATGGTGCATATATGTTTTAAAGAAGGCTGAAGTCAAGCCTCAGCCCAGTTTCTAATGTGCCCGTAAAACATTTCCAGAACCAAGTGTCCCTTTCGCTGATTAAGTCGGTTTTCAGTAAAACAGAGTAAAGCAGTAAAATGATAAAAGTACATTCAAAAGCCAGGTATGTAAATCTCAACCGCATTTAGATCTCTGAAAATAAAAAAAAAGTGTACCAAAAAAAAGTGTACTCATTTCCATTAAATGATTTCCAAGCATTTTGCTCCAACTTAGAGATTTGCGTGTAGATTTAGTCAGCCATTCTTGAAACTGTCAAGATACTTAACTATGCAAAAATGAAGGGCTTTATCTCGCCTTTAATTCTGTCTGTAATTTTACATTATTTTTTCTTTCCTTTCTTTCTAACTTCTGGCTTAAAACTGGGGCACTGTTTTAGAATTCAATCACACCATGGAAGTGTCATTTTAATGGAGATGAAAGAGCAATATTAACTGACATCCAAAGCTTCTGACAAACAGAATTGCATGGGAGTGAGCAATGATTGAGATCTTAATCACTTGTCGGCTGTCGTATTGTGATGACTTGCATTTTCAACTAATCTGGCTTGAGTAATGAGTGAAATTTCTAGCTGAGTGGTGACTGGCATTCTCTGAATGAATCCTTTCCTCATATTTCATTTTCATGGGTGACTGATCACAGCCAGTATATGAAAAACTGACATGTGTTAATTGAACAGATTTGTGACAGGTGATTAGTTCTTCTTTCCTAAAGAGTCCTAGAGCTGTTTAATTGTTTAAAATTGATAAAACTTTTTTTTGTCATCACCACTGGTCCTTGACTCTAAGATTTCAGCTTTAGGAAATGGCTTCAAAGGTGCAAACTAAAGCTACATGAACCCTACAGTCTTTGATTCCTGACAGTTTCTCTTTGTTTCACTCTGCCTTTTGGGGAGGAAGAGAAGGAAGAGGTGAAGGGCAAAACAACCTGGTTGGGAAGAAGAGTGTCTCTGAGAATAAATCTTCCTTCTTTGAGTATTTTTTTAAGGCAGCCTTTGAAACCTTCCAAACTACATACTGAAAGATGAAGGACATCAAGGAATTCATGGGAAAACTCTACCAGGTGCTTGGCAATCAGCTCAGCCGCATGTGCTGAAAGCTGAACTCCTCAGACTACTGTATGAGAGCCATCCCGTTACAGTACCGAGAGCCAAACCCACAGGGAACGACAGTTCCCACAGGAACTTATTTCCCTGTCCCAGAGCAGAGAATAGCACACCTCAACATCTCAAGAAATTATGCTCTAGTCTAGGATCTCAGGGTTCTGGGCTATGGACACCAAAACCAAAAGATCTATAGCAGCTTATTCCTGTAGAGCCAGGAGCCTGGGAGGTAACCTGCAAGGACAGAAGCCTCCAGAAGTACGGCTTGAGCCAGGACTGCAACAGCTGCAGGACAAAAACAGCTCCCAGAGGGATGGCTGGCACAAGACTTGGAGCTTTGAAGCCCAAGCCAGAGACAGACCGAGAAGCAGAGCCTGCAGGAAAGCAACAGGACATGGGATCCTCCTTAACCTAACCAGAGGGTCAGCACCACAAAGGGCTCCCATGAGCATATTACACAGCAGGGGCATCACATATTGAGAGCTGCTGGGAACAGAATTTCCGAGAATTTTTAGTTTTCTGGAAATTGGAAAGTTTAGATACCAACAGAACAGAATTCACTAGTTTTGAGCAGCTCCACTCTCTCTTCTATGACTTGAAGCCTACCCTGAGAAAACTAGTGGAAGCTGCCAGTCAGATACTTGCTGGTAGAAGCAGCCAAAGGACTTTTGGCTATTCAGATAATCACCTATTGTTCTCATTCCTCTGTGCTAACTGCTGCCTGTCCAACCCTTCTGCTTTGCCCTTAGCTTCATGCCAGACCTATTTTCTCTTCTGCTTTGACTCCCCCACTTCCCTCTCAGAAAAGCTTTCTTTTCAAGTCTGCTTTCCTTTTAGCTTATCCTTTACTAATTCTTGGCTGACTTTTTCAGATATTATCACCATGATAAACACCTTTGTCTCAGTTCCACAAGACCGTATGAGGACTACACAAGCCACAGCTGGCTACAGTGGCACTTATTCAGCTAGACGGCAGCTTCTTCCCGTACAGACAGAAGTTCCTATTTAGTTGTTGTCAGACTAACAGTGAGAAGCAACAGCTGCAAGGACAAGTTTGGTGCAGTTTTAAGGAACTTATGTCACCGGGGTTGGATAGTTTCTTTCATTATAAACTGATGATTGTGATAGCTAGTAAATATTCTGGAAAATTTTCCATGTTCTTCAGAGCACAGGCTTTAGACAATTTGATACATTTGTGCAATTACTCATCAGTTCCCTTGCTAAATACTTGCCCTTTCACTGACGATCTCAGATTGAAACTTTAGTGATCAACTATGAGGTCTCTAAGCCAAGGGGCAAAAGAGAAAAAAAAAGCTAATAGACATGCTCAGCCTTAACAATCCTTAAACGTGGTACACTCAAGCTCCACTAGAAAATATATGCCAGGAAGAATACAGTGATGACAGTTAATGGAAAACATCAAAATAATTCATGCAATAGTATATAGATAATGTGCAGGAAGAATAGAGGATTAATTAATTACATTGTAACACTTGTAGTGAGAGACTCTTTCATTTATCAGACACACACATTCGCAGAAACACAGGCAAGTTTTTGAGACTGCATGCTGGACAAATACTGCTTTGCTTACATCCAGAGACTAAAGTACTCAATAAACTGTAGACTACAGAAAATGAGATATTATTTAATCTTGTAGTAATGTACCTGTTAAAAACTCACCTAATTCAATATCTCTTATCCCCATGTATGTTTCAAGAAGCTCATCCACTTTTTTAATTGCTTTTTCTTCAACTTCAGTTGGCTTTGTTGAAATAAAGGAAGAAGAAGAGCACAAGCATGATATATCCATGCAGATTTCAAAATAACCAGCAATTAGTCACTGATTATCCTCCCATTCTAGACATCTAGACTTACAAAACCTATAAGTAAAACACATTATTCCACTCTCTCTCCCTATTCTCACAAACCTGAACCTTCCTCCTAACATCAAGCCACACAACTCTCACTTTCAAACTAAACAGGGACCTTACATCTCCTGCCAATACAGATTTTCATCAAATCCTCATCAGCTTTAGACGAACCCAGAATAAACAACATTTCTTCTTCCTAATCCTGGTTTAACACATGTTCATATCAATTTACATGATTAGGCTCTCCTAACAGCAACCAGTCCAGTACACTTTGCAGTGTCAGACACAGAACCAACTTTTCAACTCTCCTTGGTCTAATCTACCTTAAATTCATCGATGTAATCCATAACATCTAAATATAGGCTCTCTGTTTCCAGATTCCTCAGCCCTAGTCTGCTAGACTACCCTGCTAGTCTTCAACCTTTTATAAGCATTTCTTTCTGCAGAAGGCAGTCTTCTTAAGTCCCACAAGCTTTGTGGCATCCAGATTTTTCCTTCCTACTTTACCTTATCAAGTTTAGGGAAGAATAAATCAGGTGTCAAATGATAAACTACTGAGACCCCAAGATAACCATACCATTTCCTCCACAGTAGCAGGGCCTTTGGTCCTCAGCCGAAGTGTTTCTCTCCCTCTGGAGATTTTAGCCTCAGCCAGAGTTACGCCTTTGGATCTCGGTTCCAGCTTTTCTAAAGACAAAACAAACAACAACAACAACAACAAAAAGAAAATAATACCAAACAAAACTAAGTATACGGTATGACAGAATATGATGTATCCTGCTTTGACTATTACATTACCCTCACTTTTTTTTCTAATTAATACCTAGACATATATAAAAAATTAATTATAAATTAACTGTTTTATAAGTATAGCTTTGCTGACAGGTTCTTGTCTTCAGACTTTGATACCTGCTTGAAGGACTGAAGCTAGAACTTCCAATGACCAATCTTTCTATTCAGGCCTATTGCATTCAACTTGGTATATGCAATCTGTGTAATTTTATTTCCCTATTCTACAGAAAAGTAGAAGTATTTATTATTTAATATTAGATAATGGCTGAAGTCATCAGCTAAATGCTCATTTATCCTGGTCTTTACAGGCAGACTATGATGCAGGTTTTAGCACTGCAACACTTCCATCTTTACTTACTGCTGTAATAGTGCAAGCACTACTGCTAAACAGATCATAATGAGCCGCGTTGAGCTAACAATTTGCTAACAGTCACACAGCTGAAACATCTGCAGGAGCTCTTCCACTGGTTTCACCAAGGTCATGGCTTCACACTTGATAAATCTCTATCAAGAATATCTGGGTTCTCCCAAAATTTGGGGGATTTACATAATTAATCTGGAAAGTGCTAGAAGAGAGGAAATAATTTTCTAAACCTGTTTTTAACTGTGCTATTTTCTCTACCAGATTATTCATCCTTTTAACAGCAGACCTTTCTAATACACTCTCCTTGAAGGCAAGACTTTAACATGCGATATTAATTTTGCCCAGGTAGATTCCATTCATCATTCTTGTATAAAATAGTCAAAATTACAGATTATTCTGCTGGCAAAATCTTGAAAAGTAAATTTTAATTGCTTTTACTTTAACAAATAGATATGGCACATATCTTACATATATACTTAGGATCAACACTTTTCCTTAATCCTTTTATTGCTTCAAGGACAGTTTAAAACATCCTTAAGATTGTCATCATTTCTGCTAGACTTGTTTGAAAAAGTCATTCCTGATACAACATAAATATTTTTCTAGTTCTGCCATCATTAATACCTTAAAACTCATGATTTGACAGAACCTTTATCTGTAATACTTCAGACCAAAGCACTCTGGCCATCACAGAAACTATTTTTAATATTAATATAATTTAAATATAGTGTTTGTGTTATGCTGCCTTTACTTTGTTTCTATTAATTTTTCACCAATTCATAGAGGGACAGCTTGTGACTGGAAAGGACCATTCTTATTCAGAAGAGTCTTTAATTCTGTGCTACAAGCCTTATCTAGAGTGGCTGAGGCAGCCTGTGTACACATGGTAGAAAGATATCCAACCAGTAAATTATACTTTTTTCACATTCTGCTGAGAAGAAGAAAAATAAAAGTTAGTAACTTCACACAGAGGTTTGTCTCTTATTTCTATTCCCTCACAAACTTTTGTTGAAACTAACAGGAATTCAGCACCTACTTGTCCAGCAGGATCTGGATCATTTTTGTCATCTCCTTTGGGGCTATTCTCAGCATACTACAGCTTGAATAAATATGTCCATGAAGCCTAAGTGCACCTAAGGCTAGAGGAGGGATATTCTAATCTATTGGGCACTGCAAATTGTAATAAATTCTGTAGGGTGAAAAATAACATGCATCTTTCAAAAATCTGTCCATAAATCTCTGATTGCCTCTTAATTTTCAGATAAAAGGTACTGCCGTGCAATTAGGAGGTTTCCTTCTCTATACCACAGGCAGACTGAAAGGTATCTTAATCAACTGACTGAAGTAATTACTATTAAATAATGACTGAAGTCAACAATCAAATACTGATTTACCCTGGTCTTTACAATCAGACTATGTAACACATTTAGCATTGAATACAAATTACAGACCCATATTAAAAAGGTATTCCTATATTACTAATTGCAATACTAACTGCAATTACTAATTACATATGTAATATGACTTTAGTGTAAGGTATAACATTGCACATTTACTTAACCGGAGTATCAACTTATATCCAAACACATTAGAGATTAACTCATAGCCCTCATTCTTCACAGAAGCACCAAAAGCAAAAAGAAATCCTTACATTTCTCTCATTTTCAATTTCTGCTGCTATTCTGACACCAAGTGTCAAGACCGGTGTATGACAGCAGTTGTAAACTACTAAGTAAAAAGATTTGCAAAATAAACATTTCAAATTTTTGCTGTTGTGGTGAAGATGGTGATTTTGAACTTGCTGTTAGTGCAAGTATGCACAAGGACTCCTACACACTTATAATTTAGTAGTATTGTGAAATTTTTATTACAGAAAAATGCTACATAGTTTGGGGAATAAAAATTAAAACTCAGTCTCTATTTTGACTCCCTGAGCTAAACCTACTTGGTTTTGTTTATCACATTTATAAAATTAATACACCTAAGAATTAGGTATGCATTCCTCCTATGTATCACTTTTTCATAGCATGCAGGTGGTAGGTAGAGACAGAGCTTTGCCATACTGCTTCCTTCCAATTCTGAGTATTCCTGCTGCATGATTAGAGATCCACAAAAAAGTTGGGGAGAGGGAGAGCTGGCAGGCATGCAGCAAAGGAGGGTACAAGCTCTTTAGGAGGGACAGAGAAGGAGAGGTGGTGGGGTGGCTCTATATGTTAAGGACTGTTATGATTGCTTTGAGCACAGGTGTAGTGAAGACAGGGTGGAGTGTCTTTGCATTACAATCAGGGGGAAGGCCAACAGGGCAGATGTTGTAGTAGGAGTCCATTATAGGCCACTCAACCAGGACAGAGAGGTGGATGAGATATTTTATAGGCACTTAGGTGAAATCTCACAATTGCTTGCCCTTGTTCTTGTGGGTGACTTTAACTTCCCAGACATCTGCTGGAAATACAACACAGCAGAACGAGACCGGTCCCAGAGATTCCTAGAATGTGTGGGAGACAACTTCCTGATGCAGCTGGTGAGTAAACCAACCAGAGAAGGTGCCCTGCTGGATCTCCTCTTTGTGAACAGAGAAGGGCTGGTGGACAACGTGGAGGTTGGAGGTCGACTAGGGCACAGAGATCATGAAATAACAGAGTTCTCTAAGAATAGAGAGGTCAGGAGAGAGCTAAGCAGGACCAACAACCTGGACTTCAGAAGGGCTGACTTTGTCTTGTTTAGGCACCTGCTTGAAAGGATCCCCTGGGAGACTGTCCTGAAGGGTATAGGGGCCCAGGAAGGCTGGGTGCTCTTTAAAAAGGAAGGGTTAATGGCTCAAGAGCAGGCGGTCCCCAGGTGCTCTAAGAGTAGCTGACACCAGAGAAGACCACCCTGGCTGAACAGGGAGCTTTGCCTGCAACTCAGGGAGAAAAGGAGAGTTTACAGCCTTTGGAAGAAGGGGATAGCCACACACAGTGATTACAGAGAGGTTGTGAGGCTATGCAGGGTGAAATCAGAAGGGCTAAAGCCCAACTAGAAATTAATTTGGCCTCTGCAATCAAGGATAACAAGAAAAGTTTCTATAAGTATGTCAGTAGCAAAAGAAAGTCCAGGGAGAATCTCCATCGCCTGCTAGATGCAGGAGGAAATTTGGTAACAAGTGATGAGGAGAAGGCTGAGGTGCTTAATGCCTTCTTTGCCTCAGTCTTTAATAGCAAGGTTAGTTGTACTGATGAAATCCAGCCTCCACAGCCAGAATACAGAGACTGGGAGAATGACCCCCCTGCATTCCAGGAGACAGTGACATGCTGCATCACATAGACATACACAAGTCTATGGGACTAGATGTGATACACCTGAAAATGCTGAAGGAGGTGGCTGGGGTGCTCGCCAGGCCACTTTCTATCATTTACGAGCAGTCCTGGCTGACCGGGGAGGTCCCGACTGATTGGAAATTGGCCAATGTGACGCCCATCTATAAGAAGGGTTGGAAGAATGATCCGGGAAATTACAGGCCTGTCAGCTTGACTTCAGTGCCCGGGAAGCTGATGGAGCAGCTCATCCTAAACACCGTCATGCAACACATGAGAGACAACTAAATGCTCAGGCCCAGTCAGCATGGGTTGTCAGCAGGTCCTGCCTGACAAACCTGATCTCCTTCTATGACAGAGCGACCTGCTTATTGGATGAGGGAAAGGCTGTGGATGTAATTTACGTTGACTTTAGCAAGGCTTTTGACACCGTTTCCCACAGCATTCTCCTGGCAAAAATGACTGCAAGGTTTGGACAATTGCACACTTCACTGTGTTAAAAACTGTCTGGATGGCCGGGCCCAGAGAGTTGTGGTGAACAGAGTTAAATCCAGCTAGTGGCTGGTCACGAGTGGTGTCCCCCAGGGCTCGGTTTTGGGGCCACTCCTGTTTAACATCTTTACTGATGATCTAGACAAGGGGATCAAGTGCACCCTCAGTCAGTTTGCAGATGACACCCAGTTGGGTGGGAGTGTTGATCTGCTCGAGGGTAGGGAGGCTCTGCAGAGAGACCTGGACAGGCTGGAGCCATGGGCTGAGGCCAACTGGAGGAGTTTCAATAAGGCCAAATACCGGGGGCTGCCCTTGGGCCACAACAACCCCAGCAGCGCTACAGGCTTGGGGAGGAGTGGCTGGAGAGCTGCCAGTCAGAGAGGGACCTAGGGGGGTTGATTGACAGCCGGCTGAACAGGAGCCAGCAGTGTGCCCAGGGAGCCAAGAAGGCCAATGGCATCCTGGCTTGTGTCAGCACTAGCGTGGCCAGCAGGGACAGGGAAGGGATCTGACCCCTGTACTCGGCACTGGTGAGGCCGCCCCTCGATTCCTGGGTTCAGTTTTGGGCCCCTCACTACAAAAAGGACATTGAATGACTCGAGCGTGTCCAGAGAAGGGCAACGGAGCTGGTGCAGGGTCAGGAGCACAGGTCGTACGGGGAGCGGCTGAGAGAACTGGGGGGGTTTAGTCTGGAGAAGAGGAGGCTGAGGGGAGACCTCATCGCCCTGTACAGCCACCTTAAAGGAGGGTGCAGAGAGCTGGGGATGAGTCTCTTTAGCCTAGTAGAAAGCGACTGGACAAGAGGGAATGGCCTCAAGTTGCGCCAGGGAAAGTTCAGACTAGATATTAGGAAGCATTTCTTTCCAGAAGGGGTTGTTGGGCATTGGAACGGGCTGCCCAGGGAGGTGATGGAGTCCCCATCCCTGGAGGTTTTTAAGAGTAGGGCCAATTTAGAGCTTAAGGATATGCTGTAGGTGGGAACTGTGCTAGGCGAATGGTTGGACTAGATGATCTCCAGGGTCCTTTCCAACCTAGATGATTCTGTGATTCTGAGGTGCTCTAGGGAATCACAAACTCTTTTTTGCAGCATCCTTCTGCATTAGAGAGCTCAGTCCTCAGTAAAGGGTACAGAAATAGAAAAATCTGACACACAAATGAACCGGGATTATGTATCAATAAAGGAAAAAAGGAGGTTCGAGGATCAGCACATTAGTGATCCATGCTTTAAAACTGTATCTATATAAGTACAATTCCTGTACTTGTTTTGCATGATAGTGTAGTGGCAAAGGAATTGAGAAACTGAGACTCGGGCTGAGCAAGCCCACACTAGGATGACTGCTCGAGAAAGCAAAATGGAAGAAATTCCATTCATAAATTTTCCACTTCAAAGAAAAAAAACAAATGTACTTTCTTGTAGCAGTTATGTTACTTTGGGTGGACACCTGGCTACAATGGACACCTGGATGCAATCTGAAAGCAAACTTGCAGTGCAATGCAATGTTGAGATTTCAATACCCAATGAACAAGGTGGACAGTCAGGTCACTCACCAAATGCCTTCATAGGCTCTATCAACTCCAGCTTAAACATATGACCTTTCTCCAGATCCTTTAGCATTTTGGCAACTTGATAATGCCGACAATCTGACACATTTCTTCCATTTATAGTCTCTATGTGATCACCCACGCAGATCACTTTGATTTGGTCCATAAGGCTACCTTCTTTGATCCGCTATTGTTTAAAGAAAAAAAAAAACCAAAACCACACACCATAATTACAATTATTTCTTTAAAAGGTAAAGAGTGACACCAGAGAGTTCCAAGAATGTCAGTTAACAACATTATCATTAACTTATTATACTGGCAGTGCATTCTGTTGATAAGATTTTCATAAAACATACTTTGGAACGCATTCTTTTTCAAACTATTTTAATAAGCATTGACTATAAAATCAATAGGAAAAAAGAAAAAATACAATCATACTTTAGAAATTGCAGCTTCTGAATAAGCTAATATTTTTGTGCCTTAAAAGTGAACTCAGACATGTCAGTAATGTGAATGTTTAATTGATGTTTGGGTTTTTATTTTAATAGCCTGACAAGAATAGGAACAGAACTTTTCTCAAGTTTGGTCCAAGGACATAAGAAAATGTGTGTGATAGGCTAAAAAATTATATACAATAAAGGGCTAGTCTTAATAAGACCCATCTATACTGATAAAACTTCTGTTTTCCTTATCAAGCTATACAGCTGCATGTTAAAGTATTTCCACTGAAGTAACAATAAAGAATAAGAAATTCTTCTAGATGCCACCTCATGGAATACAAATACAAATGGTCTAAAGGTCATAAAACATAACAGAAGTTAGTGTTTATAGTTTTTGTGAAGTGGAATTTAAAAAACAAGAAAAAAACCCTTTAAAAGATCTCTATGATGTATCAACTAAAGGACACTTAAAATTTCAGTGATTCTGCTTATTGTTGTTATATGCTGTCATCTTTGTTTATCATGTGCTTAAGTCATGTAAGCCATTATCCCATGTCTATTTACTAGAAAAGCTATGACATAGTAGAATATCTTCAATTTTGTAGAGATATGAATTTCTTTCTAGTACCTTCCCAAATAACATACTTTCAATAAAGACTGATGTTGTTCAGTTGGAGTGCAGTAACAGTGGGCCAAGGGAGATAAACATATTACCACCTACTGCTATAACACCTAGCCTAGCTGCATAACCATCTCAGAAACCTGCTTCTAGTTTCTGTGCGCATGTCTGAGCCCACATACATGCCTCCATCTGAGAGAGTCAGTGGGAAGTGTGATAGTGCTCAGTGTCCTATAATATGCTGCAACAATTTTTAGCTTCAGGCTGAGTTTAACTCTTTCTAGCACTTTTTTCTTTAACCTAGATTAAAACCAAAAAGAAGCCTCATGCTGAATGAAGGGGTAGGTATCGTACACACACCAGAAACCCAGTCCCAAAGTCTCTTCCCAGGTGCCAGGATTCAAACACGTGCCTATGACACTTCAATTAAAGTTTATTCTATGTGTTTAATTAATTTTTATTTAGCTTTTCTGCTTCACTTGGATCCTAACACCACAACTATTTAAGTAACATTCACTGGCTATGTTATTTGTGTCATATCAAACATTTTTTTCATATGACTTAGTTTTTATCATCATTCCAAGTTAACTGTCTAGAGACAACCAAGCTACATTGGCACAGTAATTAAGATGCAATTGAAATTGCCTGTATTTCAAGTGCTCTAAAGTCCATTTAGAAGCTAGGATCTACATTTCCTATGCAATGCCTAAAATTAATTACACCGCTCCATTCTATAATGTCTCCTTATACACCAGTCAGTCATGCTTGAAGTTCTACTGTTATTCTCTGAATGGCTAATTTGATTCCATAATACATCTTCCCATCTGGCCATGTACCCAGAAAACAAATTTGTGAAAGTAGAATGATACCAAGTTCTGTTCTTAGTAAGGCAAAACAACATTAGATTTCATAGGAAAAGAACGTACAGTTCCGAGTGTCAGGTTTAAAAACAGGCCAAATTCTATACCAAACCTAGGAACTGCCCTGTTATTCAAACTACAATAAAATTACTACAGCCCATAACAGCTTTTAACAATCCACAGATAAGTAAATTTAATATTAATTGTTAATGGAACATAATATTTTTTCAAGGAAAATAAATACATAAACAAGAATTATATCAAACTTTGAAGTCGAAACATTTACATAGTAATAAAAAAGATCCAGCTTTTACTTTTGTGTATTTATTTTATATGCTATTTTAAAAAAAATCCATTAGCTAAATAGACAACAGCAACAAAGTAAACTCCTAGAAACCTCCTTTAAACTGATGCATTCCCACAAAGACTGCACCATTTTCATCATACTGCTTATTATTAGACCAGCACAAGGACAATGATCTATTTGTTCCGACAAGTTTTATACGATTTACTAGAAATTACAGCTTGTCTTGATAATGTGATGAGGGTTTTCCAGTCTGCTCCAATTATGCAGTGGTCTATGTGATGGCTGTTCTCTCTCTCTCCATATTACCAACCAAGCACTGATAGAGTAACGCTCTGTACACTGCTGCACATGTGAACTGTAATCACTGAAGCACTGCTTTCAACGCCTTCTTTTAAAATGCCACATAAGCAGCAGTGTGACTCAATGTTACAGGATGCATGGATGCTACCACTTGAAATTCAGAGTTTTGTGTCTATAAACATCAAAAAATGAGGCTATGATTTTTCCAAAATGCTTACTGAAACCTTTACTGCATCTCAGCTTTCTCAAGCATGGTCTCAATCACATTTTTCCACAACAAAGACAAGCAAACCTATTTCTAAACTACATCTTGTTTTATACCATGGTAGCTAAGGAATGAAGAATACAGCCTCTCGATACAAGAAGCTCTGTTTATAATAGCAATGAGAACAGTGATTGGGACACCAGTAATCGAAGGTAATTGCCAGTGCCTCACTAATAATGGTTAATTGGAGTAGGTTAAAGCAGAGCATCTAAAAAAGGCAGAAGATGTGATTAAGGGTCCTAATACCTAGTCCAGCAAGAAGGGCAGCATCATTTCCTCAACCTCTACTTGTCTCAAAACATACTATCTGGAGGTCATGTAGAAGACAAGGAGGAAAGCAATTATGATTAATATATTGTACACGTTACTGCCCATAGTTGCAACTCAAATAAATGGTGGTAAATTGTGTTAATCCATATCATCGGCATCTTTTAATTCACCCTACCTAAGGCAACGATACTGGAAAGCCAAAAAAGCACTATACTTGCATATATATTCTTATACAGCACAAAGACTTCTGCCCTGTGAACAGTCATAAAGTCTGAAAGAACATGATCTCATTATCACATGAGTGACAGAAGTTCTATAAGCACCTAATCGATGACATCAGAAAATTACTTAAAAAAAGGAGGGGGCAGATGCAAGCAGTATCTAACACCTACACTTCAGGGTAGGTCAGAAAATACAATGGCCACATTGTAAAGCTGATAACACATTACAGAAGCAATGAACAAATGAACTAATTTTGAATGACATGAAGTACAGAAATAGCTGAACTGATTTTGGATTACATACCTAAATAAAAGCAACTTTATTTTTTACTTACCATATATATAATAAAAGATTTTATAGTTCTAAAGGATCATTAAACCAACAATTAACCTGTTATAGTAACAGAAGTTTCTATAGAACAAAGTATTCCACTGGTAAATACATTTACCTTTATAAACGGACAGCCTGTTCCATTGTCTGTAATGGTAAGCCCAAGTACATCATCAGTTTTAAGAACTTCCACTTCTTTTCGTTGTCCTTTTATGTGGGCAAATATGAAATCTTCAAGGCCAATTTGTGCACCTAAGAGCTTGTCCATATCAACTTTATGAGTGTTCAAAGTGCAAAACATAATCTGTGCATGAGGAAAGCAAACACATTATCTTTAACAGTATATTAGGTTTGGTGAGCTTGATAAGAAGATAAAAAGGAGAGCATAGTTCTGGCCTCTCTGACAGATCCATAGCTGAAATGATGATAACTCTCCTTCTCCAGCTGACCCAGAAGAGGTAACAGTCTCCATCCATGCATATGACAGGAAGCATCAATAGCTCAGACTCTGCAGACAAGAGCTGGCAGGAAGCAAAGGAAAGACATATATCTGTGTGAGCAGCCTCTCACAGCCTGTCTCAGCACACCAGCTCTGACATTGGCATCTTGAGCTACAGCAGAACAGCTTGTTCCAGAGGTTACAGTGAGCAAACTGAAGAGTCACCACCATCTTTTGCTTCATCGGTTCACCCACCTCAAATTCCCAACATCATCACTAGGGACTGCTTTAAAGCAGTTGTATGGGGGAAAAAAAAAAGAGCCTATCAAAACAAAAGGGTCATGAGAGAGCATGAAATGTTTTATATTGCTCCATGTGTTCCCCCACTAAGGTTGGAGCTCGTCTCTGATGGGTTTGCTTAGTTTCCTACCCCTTCTCCAGCATAAATGGGGGTCATCTCTGTTCCAGCTTAGTAAAAGCAAGGCTTAGGAAAAAAGGCAAATTGGTTCTTTATAAATCAGCCTTTCTGAGGGATTTCCCTTCAGCACTGGGTGTTAGGCACTCCTTTTTCTCTCTACATGTATACTAGTGGTTCTTTATTTTAGGGTTAGTCTCTGGGACACAGATGATGCTTTTGCCACATGGCGCTGCATGGTGGAACATGGCCAGTCCGGGCAGGCTTGGGCTTTCTGCTTTTCAAGTACAGGCTGTACTGAACAGCCTAGCCAAAAAAGAAACAACCCAACCCAAAGCTCCCTCTCACAGCTAGAGTAACTACCCCTCCTCAACTCCTTTCCAAGCTTTAGCTGGGGAGGAGGGAAGCCCCCCACAGCCTCCTCCTGGGCAGCACCCAAAATGGAGAAACTGAGCTCCAAAAGAAACTTAGAGAATCCCTAAAATCTACCTCACTGAGGCAAAGAGAGCCCCTAAAGACCATCTTTCACTTGCAGCTGGAAACAGGGAAGAGGAGACTTGCCACCCCATTTGGCCAGCCAGCACAGGTGTCAAAGCCACAGCTGCAAACCATCGGACAAAGGCTCTGCTTCCAGCAGTATGCTCTGACAGGACAGGAGATAAAAGTAGATACTCTTCTACTCCCTGCCTATATCTGCTGGACATTATTTTCCTTCAGAGCGCACCGTGGATTCCCTTGCAGCCCACTGCCCACACAGCTCAAATTAAGAAGTAGAAAAAGCAATGCCAACACACGAAAAGAACACAGTGGGAAACCAGCCTAGCATTTGAGAAAAACAGCAGGAAGACGTCGCTCTGTGACCTTTATGTTTGCTTCCACTCCAGTGGCAGTCCCTGGGGAGCAGTGGGCGAGGCCAGCTGCCCCAAAACCCAGGCACAGACCTCTGCCCACAGCCTGCCAAACCGACCGCTGCTTCACTGGAAACCGGGGGTCTCCTCCTGCCTTCCTGCCTTCCCCCACTACACTTGGAAGAGTTACAAGGTTTTCTGCACCAGAACACTTCAACTGTCTTTTCTTTCCTTCCGGCACACTGGACAACAGCAGAAAAATTGAAATGAAAGTCACCAACCTATTCAAATCGCTTTCAGGTCAAATGAGGGGTGAATACTTTATGTATTTTGCCAAGGGCATTTAAGTTTCTGAAGCTTTCTAGAACTTAGATTCTATAACTATTGGGGGTTTTGGTTTTAAACACGAAGTTTTGTTAGTGAGATGGTGTTTCTTGATGAGGGGGGACTTGTTTAGTTATTGGTTTAAAAAAACCCCAAACAACCCAAACAGCTCTACTCCAAAGCCTAATTGCTTGTCTCATACAACCCCTCAAACATTGCCTGTGATCTAGCAATTTAACAATGAGAGTCACAATAGCACAGCCTTAACATACATTTGTTTTACTTTCTCAGCTAATGCAAAGTTTTTCAGATAACCAATACTCAAGTAGCAATATCATCTAGAGGAATTCAGCTGGCTTTAAGTAGAAAAGTAAATTTTAATTTATAAATAATCACCTCTAATCATCAGCTTTTTTTTTTTTTTTTTAACCAAGAAGGTTCAATTGAAACAGACTATATAAAGTTCACATATACATTTTCAGCGTGGTCTCATACATAACTTGTCCAGTTCACAACTGCAACTCAGTTCTTGTTCTTACAATGAACAAGCACTGTATCTTTACATTTTAGACATTAGCATCCTTCATCTGACCTTGTCAAACAGACAATCATCTAGTAACTACTGTCACACTTTTGAATAGATAAAATTGGCAACAGAGAAGAAATGTGATATTTAGAAACCCGATCCAGAGTTTCTCTTTTTAGACCTTCATCTGGATGGCATTCCTACTACAGCCTATAAGTCTGCAGAATTTTCTGTGAGTCAGTTCTGTGCTAACCACAAGGTTGAGAGAGCATCAGCCAGTCAAAAATAAAACTTAAATCATTCTTTATCCTCTTTAGTGAACAACTGCTTTTTCTCAGAACAGATATATGCAGAGAGTAATGTGCTAAAGAGGTATCTACCCAGGATAATATACAGTTACACCATCTATTAGTTACAGCACAGCTTTATTTGTACATGACTGAAACGTGTCAATTAAAAAAACTGTATTTTCTCATTGATTTTACTTAAGTTTAATATAAGTACCTAATAACAGATTATACACTTAAATACTTAAACAACATCTATACTATAGTACACCTTCCATTCACTGAAAGCTTGGTATATTTTTAATAATAATTTTCTTGCCCAGAAACGAAGCAGGGAAAAAATCAATGTGCAATTTTCATTGTTAAGCCTTTTCTCTCTCTTTCTACCCTCAACCTTCATATGGATTTTAACTCCACATACCAGTGCAGTGACATTTCATACCAACTTTAGCAAGATATTATAAATCATAACTGTTACATCAGTCACGAAGTATCTAGGATACCTCCTTCAGCTGAGAGTTCTCTTGTGCAGCACACAGAACAAGGAAATTCCATTCAGCTGGCAGGGACTGGGGCTTATGCACAACCTTGTAAAATAGATTTGTCAGATAAAATTACTGACAAATTATTCCCTATTTTCAATAGGAAAAGACTACATTAGCCAATAAAAACGGGGTTACACTCTATGTTATATAAAGGAACTGTATTAGCTAAGAAAAAGAGGGTTACACTATGTGTTATATAAAGTATATATGCAGTACCATATTGTAAGTGCTATATATTAATTACATTTTCACCTTCCATATTAAGCCTACACCTTGAGAAGAATTCAAAAATAAGTTGACTGATAGATGGCATACTCAGAAGCTATTAAAAGTGCTTTTAAAATCAATAGATCTCAGATAACTTTACAGAGGAGATCATAATCACTTTCTGTATTTAAGAGATGGGGAAATGGTAATTCTACTTCTGAGCAAGATGTAACACCCACTGACATCCCTATATACATAGGCATCATTATCTTAATGAATCACCAACGCATTTTCTAGGTACCTTACTCACTTTATCCTCCCTGAGGAAAATGCAGGAACCTTGACTAGCTGCAGCAACAGGGAGAGTAACCAAGTCCTCCAAGATTTAGTGTGCTTTTGGTACTCTATCAGGTATGCAACTTTGCCTACCCAATACATTCAAAGCACTATAAAATAAGCATTCAATGTTTTATTGCTCTTTTTTTAAACTCAGAACACAGAAGAATTACAGTGTAAATTCTTCCACACAGCTTAGAAGTATTTCAAAACCAGATCATTATCAAAGCAAGCATCACATGTAATACAGCTGTGAAATTTAAACACTGCTTAGGGGAACAGCAAGCAAACAATTGTTGCCATAGGGTTGGAAGGAGGTGGTCTGTAGGGAGTGTTAAGTTGTTCATTTAAAGTCTTCAATCTGTAGGCAAAATTGTGAACAATTTGTTTTGACAGATAAGCATATACCTTAAAACTTGGAACATTTTGTTGATGAGGATTTCACAAGCTGACCCTTTTCTCTAACCTCCTAAAATACACTTCGGATTTTTTCTTGTTACCAGGTCACTCTTATCCAGAAACCTAAGTTTCAGCAGTGGCTTATTTTTCAGTATTCTTTCATAAAAGTTTAAATTGAACAGGTTTCAATCAAATACTTCTATGAAAGTTTAATGTGGCACAGCCTCACATTATACTTAACTCTTTAGCATGAGACAAGATCCATGGTACAACAGCCCAGACACAAGCTCAGCAGCTGAACTCTTGTTACTGGAAGACACAGAGGGAGCAGCATTTCTGATCTCAATGCTACTGGGAAGGTCTCCCTTTTCCTGTATTCCCCTTATGAAACAAAATTCCTTCCACTGTGAAATTAAACCCCAACCTCCATGGGCTCTTGACAGACACACCCACTGAGCATTCAACTTACCTCGCCAGCCTCACCATACCTCACCTTCCAAAGCAAACAAAATAATCAAGAAGTGCAAATTATGAGTAAACAAACCAAAAGTCCATATAGCTTCCGTGGTTTACCATTTCCTTCTCATCTGAACAAGAAATATAGTTGGACTTGCAATATCCACGTTCCCAGTGCCCAATTAGCTACTTCAAACTCTTTAAAACCCTACCATGTGCTCCCACAGGACCACACCATCACCACCACACACTTTAACAGACCCACACTGTCCTTCGGAAGGTGCTCATTCATTTATCATACAGGCTCCACTTAGCATTTTCATTCTTACAGGGAACATAACAGTCCCTGCTACATTTCCCAAGAGTCACTGTGGAGTAAGAATCCTAAATGGCCAAGACCATATATAAATACTTCTTCCAACTACTTTTCCTACTTCATCCTCTATAGAAAAAATCAGGGAGATATTTGTATTATTTATGCAAGTAGAAACATCCACATAACTGTGGATGGGTTGTGTCTTT